CCTCAGATATAGTGAGAATCCGATAAAAAATGGCGGTCACATTCCTTTTCGAATCGTGTTTAGCTTTAAGAAATATACTAGTATACAAATTCCAGATGGATCGACCCTTCTTTAATATACATGTAATTTTAAGATTTCTGTGATAAATGTGTTATATAAATAAAACGCAGGTCATTTATATAAACTACAGAAAGTAACTGAAACTTTCCACTTAAACTTCGTTCAATGGTCTGGATTACCAAACATTTACTATCATTTCCTTCATAAGGACCTAGTTTATTTTTCATTCTTCTCGAACACACCAAATGTGCTTATTTTTCTCATTTAAAATAAAATTATTGAATTTGTTTTTTTTTCTTTTAAAAGATACATTAATTTCCCGAAGAATTAGTTTTCGCTCATTTTTAAAACAAATCATACCGTCAAATAAGAAAAATACCTCACGTGTCGCCGTACTGAATATGCCGATATTATATTGTTTTTCGATAAAAGAAATTTTCATGTAAAAAGTAATATTTATCGCGAAAAAACGGTCATTACTCTGTCTACAGGGAATAATCTTAGCTGTCTTATTTCATTTATAGCATGAAGTATCATATTTTTCATGCAAAAAGTCTTCTACGACTTTTTAAGAATTACAGCCCGATTTTTTTTTAATGAATCATATGTGATCATAAGTTTTGTGCAGAACGCATTGTCCTTCAGCTTTCCAGCATATATATTTTATATATTTTTATTTCAATATGATCATTATCTTTGTTTGAGAATGAAAAAAATGTATAACAAGAATTTTCTATTTGAAGTTACGGCAAAGCCAATCATGTATACACCGTACATTTTCTGCTAAAGGGGTGGGGTAAATTATACTGTATTGTTGCGCATCTTACCAAAGAGAATTGCAAAAAGTGGACCTAAGAGTCATTGTGCACAATTTAATTTCCATCTCATCAAGAACTTCGTCTTTTGCTTCCTCTATGCATGTTAAACATCGATTTATGAATAAAGTTTTCGACCATTGCCATTTCTGCGTCGAAACACTTTATTTCTTAAAATATGACCATATAATAATGTTATTTTATCATTAAAACCTAACAACATCATTATCAAGAGAGTTTATCCAGTATGTTGTTTTACGTTCCATTGGACTTTACAGCAAAATCTCCTGATAATTTGTTTTTGCAATGATTTTTGTTTTTGGCAAACTGTTGAAGGACTACACATTTTGATTCTGTTGAAATTCGGTACTTAGAGCTCATTTAGCAGTATGAGAATTTTACGAAATTGTCTTTTGTGACACCACTAATCGAAGGAGGAACTTTCACTTCCAGTGATCTCATGGCGAAGAAACAGAAATTTGTGAAGCTGTAGTGCAGAAAAGATTATAAAATCACGCTAGAGGCGGAGGTCAATTTTGAAAATCACAAAATGGTCCTCGTTCTGAACGCCAACATGCGAATCCATGCCAACCAACGAGATATGTCATCTGTACATCTATAGTCACTGTATCAAGGAGGGCTTTACGTTTAATGCAGTAGAAAAATTTGTGAAGCTGTAGTGCAGAAAAGATATAAAATCATGGACACTTTGAAAATCACAAAATGGGGAACGCCAACATGCGAATCCATAAAACATATGTGTTCTGTCACTGGCTTCACGTTTACGCAGAAAATTTGCATGAGCCAGACTGGCGGTGTAGTTGACAACTTTTATTCCAAACATCGTTTCCAAAAGACAGTAGCAGGAGAAGCATATCGTCACGGAACAGAGAGGCCTTGCTTTTCCTAGAAGAAAAATTCAATAACATCCATTCCCTTCATCCAAAATCGACGCAAACCTTAATGCAACATACAGTCCCACACTGTACATGTTCCTTACTTCCTAGGACAACAGATTGTGAAGCCATGCTTTCCCGCTGCTATGATTGGAATGAAATGAAACCTCGTGTTGTCAAGATCCACGTCTACATCGGAGGAAAAGAACCGAGAAACACATTCCACAACCATTTTGATCGATAGGAATTGCATCAAATTATGCTTCTTGTGAATATCACATTTTCATCGAGTTCTTGAATCTTACAAAGACACTGCATGTTTGTTTGTTTGTTTGTTTTTTTTTTATATCCTCACATCAAACAGATATGTGGAGGCGGACCCCCTGAAATTTCAAAGGGGGGCCCGTTTCCTAGCATTAAGCATCCCCTCTTGATCGGTCACGCCCGCCGTCACCTCTTTGAGGTATATATACATAATATCTCGTAGACCATTTATCATAAAGCAGAAATATAACAATTGGTGTGAATCAAGTCAACTAAAATATGACCCGGTGATAGGTTATATTTTTTAGCAAATTATAACGACCTTAGAATTTACGAAATGCTGACTTTGAACATCAACTTATCTGTCAGTAGTATGCCTAAGTCATTAGTAGGTTTATAATATGATCGTACTCAGAACATGCTCTTGAGTATCGATCAACACACTAATGAGTACTCAATAAGTATAACAAGGAAATGTTCTTTCATGTATGTACTCCCCTTACTTTTCTACATTAAAATAACCCTCTCTTTTGAAGGCTTAAGTGGTTCAAATTAAATATGAATGAAATAATTCATAAGCGAAGTTCTGTGATGTTGCATGTTGTACTGATATTCTGATTAACATACGGTCATAATAAGAACCAAATATCATAATAGGTTTTTTTTTTTCTGGATTATCTTTCTTCTAATACAAATCTTTATAAAAGCATCTTATTATAATTAATGAGTGAAGGATAGGGGAGGTATAACTCAATGTAATGTGTATAACATCACTAAACAAGCATTCAAGTGATCATTGTCTTTTCGTTAAAAGAACTAAAATGACCTTTTGCACGATATTTAACAACAAGAGGCTCACGGGCCTTATAGGTCACCTGAGTATCATGTAACAACTTTCGCACAATTGAATTTGGTTCATATGTTTTAAACCAGAGGCCATGAAATTCACAATTTTGAAAGAGGCACCATTGCTTATCATAATTATACACTTAGCTTACTTACTCTAGTTACTTAATACCCAGCGGTAGTTCAGAGTAACAAAGAAAAAATGCTCTTCCAACTTATAACCAGTTGTGCACCCCACCCAAAGGAACCACTGACCCTGAGGCCACTTAATTATTTCAAAATGTTCGAAATTTATAATAAATTTTATTTCATCATAAATGGTTTATTAATACTCAAGAGCAGATTTCAATGCATTAATTTATTTTCAGACTATGTACATGTAACACACTCCCCCTACCCCTGACCCAGGGGGCATGGAATTCACCATTTGAAAGAATCACCTTTTTTCATCATAGATATATATACTTAGATCATTGGCATAATATTCAGGTGCAAACGAAAAGATTTTCAAAGAATTAAAGTATTTTCACTATAGAATCAAAAGACTCCACTTACGCAAAATGGGTAAACCCCTGACACAGCTAGGGGCCATGAAATTTACAAATCAGGTTGAGGCACTCTTGCTATTATAACTATATAATAATTTAGTTTATTTAATAAAGCAGAGAGGAAGATTTTCAAAGAACTGTTTTTTTTTCACTATATAATCAATAGAGCCTCACCCTAACACCAGAACCCCTGACCCTGGGACCATAAAATTCACAATTTTAGTAGAGCCACTCTTGTTCATCATAATTATTTACTTACTTAGTTTATTTAATACCCAGGAACAGAGAAGAAGATTTTCAAAGAAATAATGCATTTTCACTATATAATCTATATAGCCCCTCCCTAACACCAGAACCCCTGACCCTGGGGCCATAATTTTCACAATTTTGGTAGAGGACCCAATGCTCATTACATTCATACCAACAGTTTGACTGCTTGATGTCAAGAAGTAGAGAAGATTTTTAAAGATTTCGTTATTTTTTGTGGTTTTGGCCCCACCCCTCAGGCCCCAGGGGGGCAGGGACCATAAAATTCATAATTTATGTTTCCCTTCACATATAGATGCTGTATACCAAATTTGGTTGAAATTGGTTCAGTGGTTTCCGAGAAGAAGCTGAAAATGTTCAAATGTTAACACATGACGCACAACACACGACACACGACGCACGACGACGGACGAAAACGGATAGCAATAGGTCACCTGAGTGACTCAGGTGACCTAAAAATAAATACCTTGCCTCCCATCAAGGTTTGATTAATAAGGAATATTTTCAAAACTGTTTGCTTAAAAATGATCCACAGAGTATAAACAATGTATCTACATAAAAACAAACCTAAAGTCCGGAAATTTAAAATTGCAAAAAAAAAAAAAAAAAAAATGTTAACAACTTCAGAAAGGAATCGAGCACTTTTCTTGATATTCCTTCAATGATCATACGTTCGGAATCATGCAATTAAAATCACACTTGGATGAACTCTTAGAATAAGAAATGTCTTGTGGTATACCGGTAAATCGCTAAAACTATTACTGTGTATTCCCAAAAATTTGCAATAGTGTGACATATTGGTTTGTCTCAAGTTATTGTCCCCTCGCAACGGAACTGGGGGAAATACATGTATATACTCAGTAAACGCAATCGCGTGTGTTTGTTCGTTTGTTGGCAAATTTAAATTGAAGTGTCGTAATTTGTTACGGGATCGATGTCGAATATAGATACGCTCATTGCAGTCTGACTAAAATGGTTTGAAAATAATAAAACTTTGGTTTTATACACACATGTACTGGTATTTTCTTTCAAGACCATTCAAATTCAAGTTGCTGTAATCACAACTGAGATGGAAATGCTTATGTTGAAAACAGACTTTTAAAGTACGATTATTAATCGTCTCTCCTTGTCTTTACACATGTACCTTTTAAATATGGAAGTAATGAATATCTGTATAACCTCGAAATACAAATTGTGGTAATATTTATTTCGTACATCGATTGCAAGAAACTAAAACCCCTTGTACTTTTATTGTAAACGGACTCGTAATTCTCAAATAGTACTGTATTATATGAGATCTACTATTATAAAGAAGTTAATATTTATTGACGTAAATGTATCGCAAATTGACAACTCACAAGGATGTTAGAAACAACTGACACAGATTTTAAAATTAACATGATTCTATATCTACAAAATGCAACATTGTTAAGATAAAATGAATAGAGTTTGACATATATAATCACACAACACAATTATAATGATGAACAAATACATGTAGTTTTTAAAACCTGTCACGTTTTCATAAAACCCAGTCATAAAGCTCCTCACACTTCTCCTTACAGGATAACGCTCTTTTCACTCTGTCTACTGCATTCTTCAGGCGACACAGAATAATATTCGCAATATACAAAAAAACTCCAGAACCGCCAGTTTTAAATAAATCTGTGTATGTGCTACATCCTTCTACAAAAATAAAGAAATAAAAGTATGCAAGTATGAAGTACAAAAAACTACAAATTTGAAAAATTATCAAACATATACTTTAACAGTTAAGCGATTCATTTTATTGCATTTTCTTCCGTTTTCAAGGGAAATTCCTCCTTATATTTGTTACTTTTTGCATTTAAAAATATAATTTTAACGAATTTAAATTTAAAATTTAAGCACATGTAACAGGTACATTTTTATTTATATTTTTAATTTTGAAAAGAATTTTTATCTCGTCTTAGAGTGACTCACGCTTTTCCTAACCTTATTTATGTGGCGCCTATCTACTAAACAGTGATGGATTCCAATTATAAACATAAAAGAATAAGGTGTAGTTAATTTGTCAATCAATTAAAATAAAACAAACACCAATTTCTACTTATTTGCCTTGGACGGCAGTAAGGGGAGATTTATTACGGAAGAAGTAGACAAGGAACGTTACAAATGACTGTGTCTTATCGTTATAATACAAACACTATTTCCAAAATGCCTTAATGATCCACTTCTTTGGGAAGAATGATTTCTTTAAACGAAAAGCACACTTCTGTGATTTATTGAGACGATCTCCAGTCACCGATTAGCGCGGGATGGAGGCTTCATCACTTCTATAGCGCGGAATTACACGATTAAGGAAGCCGGCGTCTAGCAGTGGATGAGCTAGTGTAGTGATTTATTAATTGGTCGTTCAAGACGACGCAGATGTGGCGGACAATTGAGATTAAAGCGTTCTCTGTATCAACGTTTATACCGCAATATAAACACGGGAATTGCCGAAATGATCCAGAGCGTCAAAGAGTCATAGTGTGAAATTATTTTGTAAGTGCAGGGCAATAAAAATGTATATTACCCTTCAGAGGAAGTGGGGGAATGAGAGAAGATATCTCACAGACATTATACAGACTCTTCATATAACATACAGCCCAAACTTCGGAGTCAAGATTTAATCACGATAAGTACATGCAATGAATCTAATTTGGGAAAATATAAACACTACAATTGAATCTTAAAGAATGACTAAACAAAGATTGGGAGTATATTCTGTTTCAGTCATTCATCGTCAATAAACAAACCAACTGATTGCATTCCCGTAGTGATGGAAAATTGAAAACGGAAGTCAATAAATTTGAATGGCGACAAAACATGTCGAATGAGAATACTTTAAGATGATTATATATTTAATTAAATTGGTGACGAAGATCGGTTCCATTTTCTAGCTGCCTCAGTAAGACGATATGTGAACCTGTACGGTAGACGTCAGACCTCGCACCTGCCGTTCTGGCGTTAACTATCCCAGATTTATGGAATAGAACGGCGATGGCAAAATAATTACTTCTTGTAATAGAAATATACTTATCTAAGTTTATACACTCGTAAATCACCTTTGAATGGCACAAATCAATAAAAAATGCATAGAGTGTAGAAAGACGGTTTCATTACTGTCCCATTTGCCGCTAATTTAAGCAAATGAGAAAGTGAGCGATGTTACGTGAGAACTTTATGCCTCTGAGAAGATTATGTGCCCACTTGATCAGAGATATCAGATTGCGGGTGGTCTGGGAAAATAAACATTTTGTCAATCCATGGCCGCTGAGAAACTCGAAGAAAGGCGTGTCTTCCCCCAGCAAGTTTATGAAGCAATGCGTCTACACGATAGTGATGGAGACACATTGAAAAACTTATCTCCCTAATAAACTACTAGATTGAAATATTGATCATACATCCAGGAAATACATTCTCTCTTATCTCCTATTAAAAACGTTACTTGGCAGTTAAACCCCTTACACATATTCAACTCAGTGCAGCAACCGCAACAAAAGGTACCACTCAAAATTATCGAAGTATATAAACGATGAACAATTTGTTACGCAACGCATTCAACCGATCCGTCAACGAGAGCCCATTAATTATCTTTATATATACCTCCTCTCTTCTTGTTTCTGTACACGCACGTCGCTAGTAGACAGATTATAGACTTCTTACGAGGCGAGTCGGGCTAATAAATCGGCCGATATAACTATCACTTAGTCCATATCAGTCTTCATCTCCTAAACTTCTGTCGACGAGATTCCCGCGTAAATGGTGAACAGCACGCACGCGCTTTTGATATTGATGACAATATTTATAAATGTTTACCCCGGGACTTCTCTTTAAGTTTGAGCCGAATGTTATCTAATAAAGAGGCATAAACACGGTCTTTTGGATATGATAAGGTATGATGTGATTTAATGACGATGTGATGAAAGTGATATGGATATACAATAAGCTCTCATGAAGAAAGCTGTTTCAAACACTCTCAATCAAATATAACATCTGTTTTATGGTTTTCATTCACAAACAAAACTCTCTTACATCCCAACACAACTTTCCACGTCATATTTAGGGTATCCATGACTTTTCACACATTTAACCTCACTTCATGCACGCATAAACTGTAATTATAACAGAAATGTTCTTTACAAATTAAAATATCTAACACTAGGATATTATTTTCAAGTTGGTAAAGGGATTGAGATGCATAAGTAGGAAGGGGACAAAGTTTTCTTTTTCAAAAACAAAAAGTCTTCCAAAAATCGTTCAAGCTCTAATATTATTTTTTTAAACAGACACATTTTATTACACAGTATATGTTCATCACAAGCCACACATAGTCGCTATTGTTTCAAATAACTGATAAACCGATAATTTGTAATTTATTGATTCAAACACCAAGACAGCGACTATGATTGGCAAGGTATTGTTGTTTCAATACATCACACGTCCGTCGTTTGAAATGCGTTTTTGCAAACGTTTTGAAGATCAAATTTCCGAAAACTAAATTTTAAACACGTTTTACGCGGTTCATATTCATTATTATAAGAATGGCTATTATCAAAGGTATTTTTCCCATTTAATTTTCCTGAACATTTGCGTTACATTAACAAAAACCTTGTTGAAAATGCAACACAAGATCTGAACAAAGTTATACAAAAAACAACAACACAGTGCATAAGAAGAAGTATAAATTAAGGGTACCTTTTTAAGTACAAAAGATTTTATTATCTAAATATATTTGGTTCTATTGAGTTGCCTATCGGCAAACGTATCATCTGTGATTCTCTCCCAATCCCTCTGAGTCTGGCCGACCACGAAGCCGATCTCACGGCGACGAAGCTGTTCCTTCCTCTCTTCTACGTCAGCCCAGCGCACCTGCTCAACAGTAAAACACAGTTACATTATCTCATTATGGGCTGCAATTCTCACTTGTGTTAGGTCTTAATGGTTGTTAGAAACACTGCTGTGGTTAAATTATTGTTTCTAACAGTTTTTGTAAAGCTTTCTCTGCACACCGGTGAAATACTTTTAATAGAGTTAACCTAATTCTGTATTTTATTATGAATGGTATATTTATTTTTCAAATAACTTTCCTCACCCTTTTTTGTCCTGGGGCCAGAGGCTTAGAATAATATTCTCCCAAGAATTCATCAATAGAGACAGGGGATGGTGGCCTTCTTTTCTTCTTTTGTACAATACCATCCAATTTGTCTGTAACATGGGAAATTTTTTTTTAAAGAAAATATAAGAATTTACTCCATATTCTCTGGTGAAACTGATTTGAAGAGGACAAACTTTAGCCACACTTTGGTAAATAAGTTTAACCATCATATCCTACCTAGTTCTTCCTCTGTACCAACTTCCCATTTACTTTTCTTAATATGTACATGTACCTACAACACAAACACATGATCACCATTTGGTCAAAGAGAGACAACTCTTTTATGACATTTTAAAAACTGCTTTCTGCATCTGAAAGAAAAATTTTAAAAAGCTGGAAAAAGGAAAGTTAATTTGACACTGTTTTATTTACCAAATCTAGTGACAGAGGAAATGAAAAATAAAGTCACAGACTGAGTGGAATAAATTAATGGTGTGACATTTTCATACTCTACCTTCGTCAAGACTCCAAAGTCTTCAGCCTTACAGCTTGTAAGCTTGTCATGATTCATGCAAGGCATTATTTATTTAACTTCTCAAATTTACCTCCATTTCATAATTTTCATCAAAAGATTTCTAATCAATTGGTCTTCTTAATCAAAAGATATGAACAATTGATTTTTTATTTTATGTTTTTCTTAAATTGAATGTATTTTTTAGTCTGTTGAACAAAAAATTGATATTTTTAAATTAATAAATGATGCTACTATAAACCCCTTTTCACATTAAAATAACTTTTTTTCACACAGTTGAAATTGTAGTGTGATAAATATATATCACACACTGCAATACTTTTCAAACCCAATATACTGGGTGAAATCTTGTGAGATAATTGATGAATAAGTTATAACAGATTTCAATGTTTTTTGTTATACATTTTGGGGAAAGGGCATTTCTGAAGTATTTCTAAAATGGCACAATAATTATTGTGTTTAAATATTAATCTCAGCTAACATAACTCAAAAGATCATTTCTTTCTAATGAAGATAGTTAAAGTAAATGAAGGGGGCCATGACACAAAAAAAATTCTGCAGCAAAACCCCAAAGAACCAAGTGCAGCTCTTGGTAAAACACAAAAAATATGCCACCCAAAATACTTCTTTACCCACCCAATTTAGTATTCAGCATACTCAATATACATTTTTATAAACAAACTGATACCTATATAAATATTGATATAATTAAACCAGATTCATATATAGCATCCAGACCCAAATTCCACCCTGAAACTCCCATCTCTACTTATTATGAAATATTCCCTCCCTTTCTGAAATTTGAAATTACATCTACAATAGTTGTGTATTATATATACACACTTCAAATATAAAATTATAGGTAATGCATGTAACAATGCATATTGATTTATTCAAAATAAGTTAAATTAATTACTGATCAACCATTTGATATGAAAAAGATTCAAATTAAAAGACTAATTTTCCTCATTCTGTTCTTTCACTACAGTTTGTATAAACAGATGTAGCTTACACGTAATTACCGTTACATAAATTTCATAAATGAAAGTAGTTTTTTTTTTAATACTTTCCGTAGTATCTAGCACACAGAAAAATATTAAAGAGTTACATTTTTCTGTGACCTGTTACACATGTTTTTTCGACTTGAATATACATGTAATTACTTATAATTAAAACTGTAAGTTCCTCATTTTTACTGTCTATTTAATCTTTCCCAGACACTCAGCCCCACTGAGAGGGAGCAAACCCAACTCACCCAAAAAAAAAAAAAAAAAAAAAAAAAAGATAAAAAAAAAGAAATATATGCCGGGTAACTCACTTATATCCACTCTGGATTACATAAAATGCTCTTATGCATTTATTTTGTCCAGAATGCTACCAAAAGAATGAGCTTACTCAAGTAACAATTCATAACATCTAACATCTAATAAAATTTTGTGTCTTGTTTGGTCAACATGTATCATACACAATACATGAAAATTATCTGAGTAATAGTATCTTTACAAAGATTATGTGAACAATTAAAAGTGCCAAAGCATTTATACAAGGAAAAAAATCTTCACATAACCTGGAAGCAAAGTTTTGAGAGGTAGACATATAAAAATGTCTACAGATTAGATTTTGGGAATTGGTGTATTAAAAGATCACTTAAAGTACACTACTGAGAACACAAAGGACAATAGGTACTTCTGCCATTTTAAGAAAATGGCAGATTTCAAGAAAACTGGACTGTTTGAACAATAATAATAGTCTTTGACATTGGTAAGGGCAATATTTAGTTTTAAAGAATAAATACTTCAACGATTCTTTGTCACACGTTTTTCAAAAACGTGCACAACATAAGTGGAACCTAAATAACAATCTATGATTCTGTTCCACCAAATATTAAATAAGGAGAGTTTTGGGGTAGACAAAAACAAAAATTAAAATCTTCACTTATTTTTCCATCTCTCGTCATATATGAAAGTGGAAAAGATAACTTATTCACTAAAGTTGCCAAAAAAAATCTGTTGGACTCACCGTAGCTGACCCTTTGTTGAAAGACAAACCTGAAACAGAACGTTCATCACAACATCCAATGATAACAATGGATAAGGAGCAGTAACAATACTTACCCCGCCTATCTTGATTTCTTCTTCGTCGTCGCTGTCCGTTTTACGGCGTTTCTCCGACGGTTTAGCATTGTCATCCTCGTCTTCCATTTCGACCTACAGATAAAATAAATACATTGACATAAACTAACCTGAACCTTATTCCTTCTAAAAATAATTATTTTTTTTTACATTCTCCATTTTCTTTCACTTCTCTTTCTGAAAATTGCATATAAATTTCTTTAGAGTCTACTTTTTAAAAATATTCATAATAACGTATAAGTGGAATTTTTAGCGAGATGTAAATTTAGCGATTTGTCCTCAAAAATTGGTATTTTATTTTAAGCAAGATGTAATTTTTATAAAGCTAATTGAAGAAGCTATTACAAATGAAGCGTAGTTAATTTTAAGTGATATTCAATTTTAGCAATCTTAGCAGCCTCGCTATTAATGTCAAAATTTTAAATCCTCGCTAAAAATGCTGCTTATATGGTAACTCGTCCCTTACCTCTGTTATTGAGTCCTCTTGTAGTACTGTCCTGACGTCTAAACGTAAATAATGTCTAGGGGTCTCTTCCCACTGTTTCTGTATCTGTCAAAAACAATAAGAAATGTCATAACAAATGTTATAAAACTGTTAAATATGGTGGAAATATTCAACTTTTTGGAGAAATTTTGAACTTTACAGTACACCTGATGACATTCCTGTACCTTTTCAATCTCTTTGAGTGATCTGTTATGTGTGTTACGCTTTGAACACGCTGTCAGGTCAGCCTCAATTTCAGCAATATACACCTATCAAAATAAGATATATATGAGGTACCCATTAGGCCACAGCAGAAGATATTCCTCAACAAGTAATATTTACTTTGTCTTTTTTAAAGCCTGAAATCATTAGATTTAGCATAACTCTACTGTACCTGAAATTCTTTAGATTTCGCATAACTACCTGAAATCCCTTAGATTTAGCATAACTCCAGAACTCCTCAAAGTGTTTGACTCTCTGGTTGACAGAGTCCACAATAATGAATGGGAAGAATCCATCGTCGATGGTCTTTTTGAAGCTTTTGAACATGTTCTGTCTGTACGTGTCCTCTAGTTCTGGCTCATACTCGTACTCAAGCACCTGTTCATAAAAAAAAGAATCTCAGTCTTAATAATACACAAAAGAAAAATTTTCCCCCTAATTTCTATGGCATGAAAACAAGAATCTAAAAATCTTGTGTCTATCTTTATGCCACATTTTACAATATTTTTAAAATAATAATCTGTGAATGCACTTCAAATAAATCTGTGTTTAATCAATGTGTGTAATGAAACAACGACATCCCAACAACTACACATCTTACACTTATTAGAGTCAAACACTCTTAATAAAGCATGTGAAATTTTAATACTTGACTCTTTGTGATATATGTATACATATTTAAATTTTCTTGACGATGAGATGAGTGTACAAAGCTTTTTCTAAAACACAGCTTGACCACACCAGAAACCCTCACTTAAACATATTCATCTTTTATACAAACACATACTGATCTTTTCAGCAACAACATCTCACCCACCTTTTTCTTGACTTTTTTGCCAGTCTCTGGGTCTTTCTCTGTTTTTTCCACCTCAGTCATGAAATAATCATCCAGACATAACATTCGAGGTGCCCCGCCTCCATGCTGCACCTCTTTATCCTGTCAAAACAATGAATGAGTGAAATAGAAAAGATGCTGGAGAATCTACACAAAGCAAAGATTACAATATTACATTTATATCAAACAACACATTGTTGACATTTCTTTTCTCCCAAAACTGTAAAATAATATTTTTGTTAAACTACTGTTTATAACATCTCTGATTAAGAGGTTCTCTTTGTAAACAATTTTAACTAAGTTTACAATCACCAATACCTTGATGAGTTTTCCCACGTAAGTTTTTCCCGAGCCTGGTAGACCCCGTAAGATGACCACTATCTGAGGTGGGCGTGTCTTACGTCCAGGCAGGGCCAACAGGTCCTCTACCTTGACCACCTCAATCCTCGGCTCGTGTACACTTCTATCTCGACTCGGACTTCCGTAAGAGCCATAATCTCGGAACCTGAAATACATTTTGTAAACACTGGATCACGCCTTTAAAATAATTTCCTTTTTTGTTTTATTAATTTTAATTTTTGAAAATTAATTTTGTTTTAAAGTGAATTTTAAAACTAAGTGCTAACCTGTCTCTGTCCCTATCTACTGCAGATGGCCCTGTAAAATAAACAAAAAATCAAAATACAATAATAAAGAATAAAGTCAAAAGTTTATTAATCTTCTGAACTACAGATACTAACTAGAACAACACATGTATGACTTACTTTCTTTTTCTTCTACTGTCCTACCATGACCGTAATCTATGACAGTTTGTGGGGCCACATAAGGGGTCTCTGGCTCTAAAAGACGGAAAATATTCACCAGTTTGAATCAAAGTTCATTTTCCCTGATTTTATGCCAAAAGCCTAAGTTACAGCTATGAACTACTGACTTACCCCTAGACAGGAAGTCCGCTGACGACTTGTGAGCATGATCAATGACCTCTGGTTTCTGATAAGGTCGCTCCTCTGTTGGGGGTGGGGGTCTGTAGGCATCATAGTAATCTCGTCCATATTCTGGTCGACTGACAAAAAAGAACACATTCAATTGGAAATGAATAATTTGGGTTCCTAGGAGGCATTAAATCTTATCTGTATAGATCACAGTATAATTTTGATTTTGTACAGGTGGGGCTGGGGTGGGAGTCTTACATGTACCTGTATGTATAGTAGTAAAGTCTCCTCTCATAAGGATCAGGTGGGTGTCTTACCTCTATGGATCATTTTAATGTCTTCTTTCATAAAGATGGTGGGGGTAGGTGTATTACCTGTATGAATCATAGTATGCATAGTTTCCTCTCATAAGGATCAGGAGGGGGTGGGGGTTTTACCTGTATGGATCGTAGTAAGGTGGGGGTCTTATTATCTATATGGATCGTAGTACGGTGGTGGTCTTATAATCTATATGGATAGTAGTAAGGTCTTCTTTCACTTCTTTCATAAGGATAAGGTGGGGATGGGGGTTTAACCTGTATGAATCATTGTAATGTCTTCTTTCATAAAAATCAGCTGGGGTGGGGGTGTTACCTGTATGGATCATAGTAAGGTCTTCTTTCACTTCTTTCATAAGGATCAGGTGGGGGTGGAGGCCTTCCGTAGGGATCATATCTCCTGTAGTATGGGTCGTATCTGTCATAGTACGGATCCCTTCTGTCATAATAAGGGTCAGGTGGGCCTCCGTAACTGTCTCTCCTGTCAAACCGACCATACTCCTACAATGTACACATAAATATTTCATATACATGTATTAGCTATATATTTTTATTTGATTATTTTTTCACATATATTTAATCTACACCATGTAATTTAAAAGAATTTTTTTTTAAGTCTTTAAGTTTATCTTTTAAAAAACAAAATCTTCATATTTAAAATATAAAGCTAAATAATTATTCCTTAAAAAATTGATGTTAATTTTGACTTTTTGTTAAATTTGAACACTTCCACAGTGACTTAAATCTGACATACATCTGGCGGTTCCCCTCTGAAGGCCTCCCGTTCTCTGTCATAGAAACCCTGCCATAACAAAAATCAAATACAAATCTATGCACATAAAGCACACAATATGAAAAAAACAGTGAATCAATCAATCTAAATTGTGAACTTGAAGTGCTTTGAGCACCCATAAAAATTTTAAAATCATTGTAATTTAAATTAATTCTAGTAAATCATATCACACTTTGTTTAAAATACAATGGTTCCATTGGGTAAAATAAACCCAGTCTATATCTGACCTCTCTCTGTCTCTGGTCAGGTCCATAGGGGTCAGGATAATCAGGTGGGGCTTCCTCCTGCTTGGGAGGGTATGGCTCTCTCTGCATCCCTCCCCTCCCCCTGAATGGCCTTCTGGCACCTCGCCCCCGCCCCCTCCAGTTAGGGCCCCAGGGAGCCTGCCAGACGTCCTCACCATCCTCAAAACCTTCAACTTAAAAGTCATTGTACAAGTGTAAATTTCAGTTGTATGTACATGTATGTCTTTTTAAATCCAATTTTCAAATGCACTCTTTCAGATTTTACCATATCATTCCTTTAATATTTTAATAAAATACTTTATACAGGGTTATTTTTGCCCTTTCAAATTTGGAAACAAGCTTAAGTTTTAATTGTTTTAAATTTGCCAGAAAGATTTTTGCTAAAGATAAGCTATTTACTTTGAATTCGCCTCGTTTTAAATTCACCCACTTCCAACAGGGCAAAAGGGGCAAAATTAAAACGGGGGCAAAACCTCCCTGTATACAGTAATGATTTAACAACATCTTTTTTTATTTATTACTAACTGATAAAAGTACAACACACAAAAAATTCTTACCTGGAGGATGTTCCTCCTCTTGTGGCAAATTTTGAGGTTCACTGGCACCATTTGGCTCTGACTGGTTTGGACCTGGCCCTCTAGGAGGACCTGGGGCTCTTGGTCCCTGTTGATTTGGACCAGGCAGACTTTGTGATTGTTGATTTGGACCTGGACCCCTTGGACCTTGCTGATTAGGCCCAGGGCCTCTTGGACCCTGTTGATTTGGCCCAGGGCCTCTTGGACCCTGTTGGTTTGGTCCAGGACCTCTTGGCCCCTGCTGATTCGGCCCAAGGCCTCTTGGCCCCTGCTGATTTGGCCCAGATGCTCCTGGTCCTTGCTGATTTGGCCCAGGACCTCTTGGCCCTGGTTGATTTGGCTCAGGTGCTCTAGGTCCCTGCTGGTTTGGCCCAGGACCTCTTGGACCTTGTTGATTAGGCCCAGGACCTCTTGGCCCTTGTTGATTTGGCCCAGGTGCTCTAGGTCCCTGCTGGTATGGCCCAGGGCCTCTTGGGCTCTGCTGATTTGGCCCAAATGCTCTTGGTCCTTGCTGATTTGGCACCGGCCCTCTTGGACCAATTTGATTTGGACCTTTTTCATTACCTTGAGGTTCATTCTGAGCTGAAAATGGAGGTCTTTGACCTTGTCCCTGGTTGGACCCTGGCCCAGATGGTCTAGGTCTTTGATTTGGTCCTGGTCCCCTGGGTCCAAATTGATTTGGCCCAGGTGCCCTTGGCCCTTGATTCGGCCCTGGCCCTCTAGGTCCTTGTTGATTTGGGCCTGGTATTCTTGGACCTAAACCAGGAGCTTGAGCTTGTTGTCCAGGCCCTTTCTGTTCTTGTTCAGCCCGTGGCTGGTCTTTTTTCAAACTTTCCTCAGATTTTTGCTGCTGACCTGATTTATTATCTTGTAATTTAGGGTCATTAGTATGACCTGGCTTTTTCAGTTGTGAACCTGACTCTGTCTTTGAAGTGTCTGGTTCTGTTTTGACTGGAGTTTTTTCACTATCTTTCTTTTCAGCAGAATCACCAGCTTTCTGTTCTAACTTTTTAAGTTCATTAAGAGTTTCTTGCTGTTTTCTCAGCTTTTCTATTTCACTTGACATATTTGTAGCTCCACTCTGAAAAAGTTAAAACAATCGGGAACTAATTTTTGGCATTCAATGATATAGAAAATGATTAAAAGCTAAGAAATTTTCGCAAGATTTTTCAATGCATTGATCTAATTTACCTTGGAGATTTCTGTCTGACTATTTGATCTGAAAACAAAATAAATGAATTACTATCAAGATTATAGTGTTTAATTTGCTATAAAGAAAAAAATCATGCATACACAATTATTTTTGAAAATAATCTAGGTCTACAAAATAACAGAGGCAATAATATTTACCTTAACTACTAATACAATGCCAAATCCTTAACAGAAAGATGTTAGAGATTCAAACATTTTCCTATGAACTCAAACTCAAACTTTTACCTATTGTGGCCTCTATAAAAGAGTGCCTCAGTTTTTAAAATTAAATTTGATTGGTGATATTTGTGATTCTGTTGAGAGCAGGAACTTGATTGGTTGAAATGACTTACCCTTCCTGTACTTCTGCTTCTTGTGACATATCTGTCATGGACTGGTTGCCTCCCCTTCCCTGTAGATGTTTCTGAAGCCAGGGCTGCTGGCGACCTTTGACCTCCTCCTGCTGTGTTGACCATCCTTGCTGGTTCTGTTGATTTCCTGGGAATCCAAACCTAGGTCCTTGATTCTGCATGTTCCTCCCACCAAACCTCTGATTCGGGTTCTGGTTCGGGTTGTTGAAGCCTTGCTGGAGGTTCTGTTGATTTGGATCATTTCTCTGGAATCGGAACCTGGCATCTCCTTGTCCTCGATTAAAGCCAAACCTAGGTCCACCCCTTCCTTGTCCAATCGGAACATTATTTGGATTTCTCTCAAACGAATTGCCATACTGTTCCTCCCCTGTCTCTTCTTGCCCTCCATCGAATCCCTCCTCTTGTTCATTGTTTGTGAAATCCATACTCATCAGAGGGACAGGACCACCTCCCCTTCCACCTCGCTGGTTCCCTCTCCCACCTCGACCTCTTTGAGGTCTCTGACCTCTTGCCATCCCTCGACCAAAGTTCTGTTGTTCCTGACCCCCATATCTATCATTTCCTCCCATTGGTCGAGGCCCACGAGGCCCGGCACCATGTGGTCCTCGAGGAGCAAATTGACTCATCTGGTTCATCAACTGGTTCCCCTCCTCTTCATAATCCTCCTCCTCATCCAGATCCATTCCTTTCTCCTCATAATCCTCCTCCTGGTTCATCCCCTGAAAGTTGTTACTGAAGTTACCTCTGGGTCCTTGATTTTGATTCATGTTGGGTCTGAATTGGTTCATCTGATTATGAGGACCCCTGGGGCGGAAGTCTTGTCGCCCTCCTCTATTCATCTGGGCACCTCTAGGTCCTGACATCTGGTTCATTCCTCCTCTAGGACCGGGGCCTCTAGGGCCTCCAAATTGACCCTGAGGAGCACCTGCCTGGTTTTGAGGGGCACCTGCTTGATTCTGAGAAGCACCTGTCTGGCTCTGTTCCTGAAACAGCATTTGCTTTCGTCTCTGAATGTCTGCCCTTTTATCATCCATTTGTTTTTGGTACGACATCCACTGTTGTTCATATTGATGAAATTGATCTTTGTTTGGGTGATCTAAGAATACAAAAACCAAACAAAGGGTGAGTGTTGAAACCTTCATACATTACTTTACTTTGTTTGTTCTTGGCTTAAATTCATACATAACATTATCAACTACAGACCTGCCTACCCTTTTCATTGCAAGGGTGTAATTTCAGTACATTTTTTGGTGGAATTTCAGAGGTAAAAGCGTAATCAATCATGTTTTTCTATTTTCTTTTTCACTATTATCCTTTTTTTTCAAAACAACTGAAATTGTACATTATTAAACTAAGCTTGTATAAACTTATCTTAATTTTTCGAATCATCCAGTGGCAGAAAAGTGTGGTAAAATTCCAGTATCCTATATCAAACTCAAATCAACCGTACACCCTTAATAGAGCATTTGATAAATTTGTATCAAATCTCTTAATTGAAGGCTTGCATTTGAATGTTAAAACAAATTGTACATTTTAACATTCTTTTTTATCTTCTTAACACTCACATTTCTGTATTTTGTTCTAAGCAATGTTAAAAAAAACTAAATTGAACAAATGGCTGTACCTTTTGCAATATCGTTTAATAGTTAACGTCAGTTCGTCTTCTTCCGAATCTTCGCCATACCAGTTTACATGTAACAACTGGCTGTATTACGTACATTATCGAACTTGTCCTCTTTGAATTATTTTTATCATTTCAGCATTTCGTACGTTAACCCTTAATTTAGACGGAATTTTAGATGGAATTTTAACCAAAATATCAAAAGCGTAATATTAATATAGGTGGCGTAATAGCGTAATTTTGAGCTAAAAAGCGGAAGAATTACGCCAAAAGCGGAAGGGTAGGCAGGTCTGCAACTATGATTTTCTCCAAGTTTCCCATTTGTGAGTCCTGCTTACTCTGATTCTGTTCCTGTCAGTCATCAAACTGTTATTTTTTTTAATTTTCCTGTCACTGGTTCCTACTTATTCTCATTCTATCTCCCCCCCCCATCATCATACTGTTTTCCCCAAAAGTTTCCTGTCACTGGTTCTTATTTATTCTGATTCTGTCTCCCCCCTTTATCATCATACTGTTTTCCCCTCAAGTTTCCTCTCACTGATTCCTACTTATTCTGATTCTGTCTCTCCCCCTTCCCCCATCATCATACTGTTTTTCCCCCAAAGTATCCTGTCACGGGTTCCTATTATTCTGACTCTGTCTCTCCCCCCCCCATCATCAAACTGTCCCCCCCCCCCCAAGTTTCCTGTCACTGATTCCTACTTATTCTGATTCTGTTTCCTCCAGTCATCATATTGTTATTTTTTCCAGAGTTCCTGCCAGTCATCATACTGTTATTTTCTCCAAAGTTTCCCATCTGACAACAATTCCTACTTACTCTGATTCTGTTCCCGCCAGTCATCATACTGTTTCTTCCACTGCTGGTATTGCACATCAAATTCTCTCTCCTCTTGTGAAACAGCTTCTATTCTTTGTTGGAGATTTCCTAAAATGAAAAAAAAAGTACGTAAGGGTTGCCCGCAACCCTGTGTCTCGCCTGCTGTCGCTGTGGTTAGTAAGAAATGATTGTCTGATAAACTGAAGCATTTATTGACATTTCAGAAAGAATAACTCAAAAATACAATAATAAAGAAATGGAACAGCTGACTTAATATCTAATCCCTTGTGCGATTATATTGGCATTTATATATATATGAGCATGTTTATTTATTAAACATATACCCTGTAAATTCACAAATTATTGTGATGTTTTTATTATTGCGAATATTGCAACGTGTTATGAGTCGCAATAATTTGAACTTGCATTTTGAAATCAAATCCACTGTATATGTATCAAGTCATTCATGCAGAAAATGTAGGTGAAGATTACCTAATTATGGTACTGATATTGTTGGTTACCCATGATGTGTAGACTGACAAATTATCATGCCACTATAAGTTATAGTTGCTGAGATATGGACCTCCACCATAAATTTATGCAAAGTCACTCATTTTAAAAATGTAGGTCAAGATGACCTAATTCTGGTACAGGCGTTTGTGGTTACCCATGATGTATCCACTGACAAATTATCATGCCACTATAAGTTATAGTTGCTGAGATATGGACCTCCACCATAAATTTATGCAAAGTCACTCATGCGGAAAAATGTAGGTCAAGATGACCTAATTCTGGTACAGGCGTTTGTGGTTACCCATGATGTATCCACTGACTAACTATCATGCCACTATAAGTTATAGTTGCTGAAATATGAACCTCCATTATCAATTTAACCAAAGTCATTCATGCAGAAAAATGTAGGTCAAAATGACCTAATTCTGGTACTGATGTTGTTGGTTACTTATAACCTGTACAATGACAAATCATCATGCCATTATAAGTTATAGATGCTGAGATATGGACCTCCACCAAAAATTTAACCAAAGTCACTCATGCAGAAAAATGTAGGTCAAGATGACCTAATTCTGGTACTGACGTTTGTGGTTACCCATGATGTATCCACTGACTAATTATCATATCCCTATAACTTATAGTTGCTGGAATATAGGTCTTCACCATAAATTATCATGAAAAAACTAAGTCCAACTTCAAGGAAAAAATACTGGAAAAATTTGAATTTTTTTTTTCAAAATCATACTTGGGATATAAATTTTTATCCATACTGAATATTGTGTCCAAATTTCAAGAAGACTGAATAAAATTTGAGAAAGTTATTGCAGTTTATAAAACTTTGACATTTGGGTTAACCAAAAGTTGGACGCCGACGACGACGACGACGACGACGGAATCTATGGTCGCTATGTCTCGCTTCGCGACATTCGTCGCAGGCGAGACAAAAATTCAGCAAGTAACAATAGAATTTCAATTTAAGCCTGTAAATCTATATTTGGTAAGAAGCAAATTCTGCATAATCAGTACAATCAAATAATAGTTTATTAAGATTATTCCAGTCCTGAATTCATACTTTTGTGTGCGTTATGTAAACAATGAGATTATTCATCATGCACTGAATAATTAGAGCATTTAGTGAATCTTGCCACTGCTGAGCATGTTTATTTATTAAAGGGCATGGTGATTAAAAAAAGGGACAAGACACCACGCCAAGCTAATATGCTTTAGATTATTCACTAAATACATATATAAGCATACATTTTGTGAAACCAACCTGAACCTCCGGACATTTGTTGCTGCATGCCTCCTTGTTGCTGCATGCCACCTTGTTGTTGCATGTTTCCCTGTTGCTGCATTCCACCTTGCTGTTGCATGCCTCCTTGCTGCTGCATGCCTCCTTGCTGCTGCATGCCACCTTGCTGTTGCATGTTTCCCTGCTGCTGCTGCATGCCACCATGTTGCATACCTCCATGTTGCTGCATACCACCATGTTGATACATGCCACCATGTTGTTGCATGCCACCATGCTGCTGCATACCCCCCTGTTGTTGACCCCATCCCTGTCCCGCTCTGTGTTGCTGCTGTGTCCATGTTTGTTGCTGTTGCCATTGTGCTGCTTGTTGCTGCAGCTGAGTCAGTTTCTGCTTTTCTGCATCAGACATGGGCTTCATTTCTTTTTCCTGATAAAAAGGAAAATAACTTGATTTGGTGAAAAGATTAAATTCCAGATTACATATTTTCTTGCCGAAATAGACAAATTTCACATCCTGTAGGGTTCTCTATCAACTGTTTTACTATGTTGGCCCCGAAACAGTAAAATTTTCTCCGACACAGTAACAATTCACATTTTATGCATGTGACACAGTAAAAATTTTGCAACACAGTTAAAGATCATCAGAAAATCCAAACATATTATCATTAACTTCAACTTTAATCAAACAATTCATTCGTCCTTTGATTCTTAAAGGATAGTACTTAATAACTCTTAATTAGGGCTTCACCTTGCATAATCAATTATCTCCTATAGACCCTCACAGGACTTCAAGCATTAAGGAAAAAAGATAAATCTTGAAGCGAAGGATCGTGTCAAAACTGCAAGTGCTATTGATAAAGCATCTACCAGTGGATAAAGCATCGGTTTATCCAACGGGTAGTATCATCCACACGTATGAAATAAAATGAATTATGGATATAGCCAAGTAATTTTGTAGGTCCTAGTGACTTCGTTATAAGAGTTATTAGAGTTTTACTCTGTGTAACTGGTATTAATAATTAATGGTACCATTCCTTATGCCCAAAAAACATTATTTTCCCAATTTTGAAACTAGAAATTCCTTCTTGCAAAACTGTAGCTCTCTGCTTGATAAAATTCAGACAGAGAGCTACAGGTCCAAGAGATGTCAAGACCTTCAGTTTATGCCATCTGGATCACTTTTTATGTTGCTCACTTTAGGTATCATTTCTTATAGTTTATGCTTTCCTTCACTTTTGAAATATATCTGATAATTATTCATACACTTACATGTAACTCCTATTATTGATAATTTAATTACCTATCAACTGCCCAAAACAGTTATACACTAAAGTGCATGTAGCCACAGAACTGTGTCTCTCAGGTTGAATAAATTTGTACAAACAAACCAGAGCAAGAGATTTATGCATTGTAAAAACCTTCCATTATTGCAATGCTTCTTGTTGCATAATTTATTTATGTTTTGATGTATTATATCCATTTCTCCATACTTCCGAAAGGATGTTATTTCATCAACAATATTTTATTTATCTTTCAATGGTTACTAGCAGGCACTTAATGGCCTTTGATTGACGAATGTAAGCTTTAAAAAATTGTGTTCCTATGTATATGGTGAAGTCTTTCTAAAATAGAGTACTCTAAAGATAAAGTATCAGGAATTGTAGTAAAATATATGCTAATTTTACATACACCATTCTTCAAGCACGGGAAAAATACAAGAAATAACACCTGAAAAAAGCAACAAAAAGCACTGACATAAATCAAAGGTTTTATCAATACTTGGATCTGTATGCTCTCTGGTTTGTTTGTCTGGATTTTCTCTTTAGCTTAATGTAAAAGCATGGCAGTTAAAATTTTAAATAGCTGATAGGTCCAGTCCAAAGACTATTTCTACCTACGTAACTATTAATAATTACGTTTGTATTTAATCCTACCCAAACTAGCTATTTTTTCCTATTTTCTGCTTTTTACTTGCATTTTGTGGCCAAACAGCCGAACAGTCCAATATGGAGAGTACCAAATTTATTGATACAGTGGTGATAACTGATGATGGATATGACAAAAGTTTGACCAAAAAATGCTTACTTCGTGAATTAACAATTTTGCATAGAAACTAATGTAAAATTGATGATTTAGGAAGTAATCATTTTTTGGCCAACATTTCATCGTATTCATCATAAATATTGTGACTGTATCAAAATATATGGTACTCACCATGTTGCGCCATTTGGTGTTTTGGCCACAAAATGCAGATAATACAAAAAGTAGGTAAAAATAGTCGCTGCAGAACTGAAGTGTTATGGTTTTATATATTTGTCTTTGACCATAATGCTGCAAATCCCATAATGCAAAAAATGTGCAATTTACAGCGCAAGATTTTTTGCGCACTGTTTGGGAGAATTTCTTTACATTCCAATTTAGTAAATCATCCACCTATCAGCCCCTAATTCCGGACACATTTGTAAAAGAAATTGTATAACTTATCCTCCTCTCGACCCTTAATGTTCACCTTTACAGTCTATAAACTGGCTTTATTTAAACTGTCTGAGGAATTGCAAAAAATTCTAATTCAAGCCAGTTTATCGCTTGAAGAGACAACTGTATAGTGTTGCGAGGTGTATAAAATATAGATTTATTTAAGGAATGAAACTTATTTCAACTTTTGTTATACGATATAACATAACTTGAGACAGTCTATGCTTTATAAACTGCAAAGTGGTTTATAAAAAAGCGTAAACTGCCCCAATTTATGTTATATCGTATTATATAAGTTGAAATCAGCTTCATTCCTTATAATTTAATTTCAATGTAGACAATGAGAAAATTTTTTCATTTTTTCCTTAGTTTCAAATATCGCATATTTTAAAAGTTAACGTCAAGCGGAGTAATACGTTTTTGACATAACTCATTGTGACATCGGCAAGTTATGTTATACAAAATGGATAAAACCATTTAACCAATCAAATGACGTGTTAACTCTAAAATTAAATTATTAAAAAATGTGTCTAGAATTATGGAGGGAAAGGTATATGATTTACCAATGTTGGAAAACGGAGAAATTCTCCCAAACAGTGCGCAAAAAATCTTGCACCGTAAATTGCACATTTTTTGCATTACGGAATCTGTAGCATTAATTATGGTCAAGACTAGAACATAAAACCATAATGCTACAGTTCTGCAGCTAGTAAAAATAGCTACTTTAAGTAAGTTTAAATACATTCATAACTATGTAGGTAGAAATAGTCTATGGACTCAGACTGGACCTGGCTGACCCCTCTAAACGATTGCTTTCTTTTAACCACAAACTCTAATTACGGTAAAGCTAGGTACTCACCTTAGTTTCTCCCCCATCAGGTGGTGGGTCGGGAGGGAGTGGTGGTTTCTCGTCGGCTGGGGGCTCGGGTGGCGGTGGCTTGGTATCACCCCCGGCTGGCAGTGGCGGCTGAGCGGACTGACCATACATCCCCCATTGTTGTCCTCCTACTTGATTCATCTGCTGCCATTGTAACAACTGCTGTTGGTAGTTTGGATCCATCTGTCCATAAAGTCCATATCCTCCTTGGACATTACCCCAGTTAGGAAACATAATGGATGAACGTGGAAGTAATAGAAATCAAAAGACGAATGTTGTTTGTGCAAAAATGGCGGCGCGGCATGTAACAAAGTAAGTCGTTCTTCGTAGATTTCGGACAGTTATTGCAAAAGGCAAATAGATCAATGTAGATAAACTGTCCAAAATTTTCCAATATGCACCTACAAGAAAATCTCTTGACAGAAAGTACAACGATTCGTGACATTTGAAATCACATCCTACACAATACTAAAGTAATAATGGAAGGTGAGCTTTTAAGCAATATGAGCCAAAAAAAAAATTGAGAATTTTATTTTGCTAATTCAAAATGTGTCATTATGAAAAGTAATTTAAACCTTTATGATAATTTCACTAAAATAAAGTAGGCTTATTAAATCATTTCAAAAGAAATGCATCCGTACAAATCAAATATTTAGATTTATCAGGCGCGGATCCAGGATTTTTTTCCAGGGGGGGGGGGGGGTCCAGTCAGTCAAATAAAAAAAAACAAACTCTTACAACTCAACAATTTCTTGACTACAACAACAACAACAAAACCAAATAATTTAACTCGATCATTTTCCATACGTGAAAAGACTAATTCGTGGGGTTGTAGGACTTGTAAAGCTTCATACCTATGACTTTTCATGCCAATTATACACAGATCCGTGTTTTCAAAGAGGGTTCCGCGATTTTTAGGGGGTTCCTGAATCCAAGGTCATTTGGGGGTGGGGGGTGGGGATTAGTATAAAAAGAATTAACTCTGCAAATCCAGGGGATGGGGTCCCCCCCCTACTAGATCCACGCATGATTATTTAAGAAAACTACATTGTACAGGGCGACAATAAAGTAATTTTGCATCATTAAAGAGCTTTTTAATAGTCCTTCTTAATACGAACAACAGATTATAAATGTTCTTTTTTCTGAAAAAAAATTCTGTAAATTGTTAACGACAATTTTGCAACAGAAAATTTTGACATCAAAGTTGCAGCTCATGTTGCTCTAACAACTGACAAATGGCGCGCAGCCACAAGAGAAAGCAATCTAGACTTCTCATACGGAGGGTACACATAAGATGAATTCTATCGACCATGTGATAAATGAATGTAGAAATCCCTGTTATAAGACAATTCAACTATGCACGTTTTGATCCTTATTTCTGATGCCAACATTTTAATCCCCTGTTCAAAGTGAACATGCACGTACTGAATGGGGACTAGACGGGCCCGTGTGATTCTTTAGGTGGTGAGTGCAAATAAAATTGTTTCTAAATGATTTCATCCCATTTTCCAATTGTCGCCAGATCAACATGCTTTGTCAACTCCGAACGACTTGACTTTACCGCGTGCACTTTTAAAGTAAAACAATACAAACTCAAGAGCAGACCAAATACGGCCGGACCTCTGAAACATCATATGTGGGATCAGGTGCCATGGAGGAGTGAGTATCCCCTGCCGACCTGTGACACCCGTCGTGTGCTCCTTGTTAGAGACCACTGATATTCTTGTTTTTTTTTTACAACTTGTCTGTTTGAAACTTACCTTGTTATAAGAATTGTTGAAGAACATGCTCTTACCGAATCAATGAGAGAAATAAACGCTGTATACAGAATATCGCTGCATTAGTAAGTTGATGACTGAAAAGTTAGTCATCGCATTTATCATAAAGTTCGATTGTTAGATTGCCATTAACATTTTTTCTAGTAAAATACACCGTATCAAAATATATGAAAAGACATGTCAGACTCTGTAGTATCCTTTATTTCAAGCTCATCGAGATATATTGCATCGATATAAGAATAGAAAAAAATGACGTGTAAATTGACAATACGTCGTCGATATATCTAAGTGAGATCGCTTGAGCCACAGGAGTTCGCGCGTACCTATCAATTTTGCCGAAATTTTCGGTAAATAAAAAAGATACGTAGTACCTATAATTATTATACGTATTACGTATTTTTTTATTTAATGAAAATTTCGGTATAATTGATAGGTTCGCGAACTCCTGTGCTTGAGCGATCTTGAAAAAAAAAAACATTTTGCATTAAAAATGCGTCAACGGAGATTTTCGTCGTCGATACATCTGAAGGTCGAGTTGAAGGCCACAGCAAGTGTTTTCTTCTTTTCACGCATAAGATTTTGCATAAATTCTGCTTCATATGAATGCAAAAATAAGTCTGCTAATAACGGAGCGCAAAGAGCATGGCAAATTTCCTTCTGATTAAAATGCGAATCAAAAAAAATATATATTTATTAAGACACTAGATAATTTGATTAATCATAGTAAATATATAAAGTTTTTTTTTCAGGTAGACAAGATATGTTTTTCTGTAAATCCTCTGCACAGCAAAATCCCGGATGTAACTGGGTGCGTGTCAACATAAAACATAGACCGCTCGACTAGACACACGTTACATATCCAGTTTGTGGCGGGTCGAGTTTGAATGCGGACACACTGACAATTAATTTTAAGTCTTCGGAATCCACCTCATCAAGATGAACCTTGCATCATCTTTGACATCTTGATCGACACTTCAGAAATAGAACTTTCAAATTCCCTGTGTTATTCTGTGGACCAATTAGTCCAACTAGTAATGTAAAAAGTCCCAAAGAAAACAGAAGAGAGAATCCGATTGTGCAAAACATAAATACTCCGAACTGTAAGAAAAACTGAATTTCCGTGGCGAAGAGAAAAAGAGAGGCTCCAAGTGTTGTACATGCCCCGAAGAAAACAGAAGAACCCATCATTTCCAGCATGTCACGTGTCCTGTGGTATCTATCTTTGTGAACAGACAATGTGTATCCCTCCGCCAAGTGAACTACATAATCCACCGCCAGACCAACTACCAGACACATGTTCAATGCCGTCATGAACTGTAAAATGAAGGGAAAGAGATCACAAATGAATGTTTACGTATACTGTAATATGGTTTGTTTTCATTACTGTATATGATTACTAAAAATTACAATAAAATCAGAAACCAAGCAAAACAATGTTTAATATGATGCATGCATTATTGAAAAGAGATGTGTACTGCTAAAAAGTTTGTTGCAAGCTCCATATAAGGTTAATTACATTAAAGAATTCTACCTATATCCAACATCAGTTTATAGAAGACAAAGAATTGCTAATTAAAATTATGCTTACTTTTTACTGAAATTGTCCTTTTTCCCATGTTGCAACCAAATGTGCATTGCAAAGTATAGCAAAACTAAATATGACCATGAAACATGAAGACGAGGAGCAGTTATAATAACTAAATTCTTTTAAAATGAGCAATACAAATGGAGAATAGGACAATCATAGACCTCCGAAAATTTCAAAGGTGAGATCATTATAAATCAGACACATGTATTACTTCTTTCAGAGATTCCATAGATGATTTCAATCAACCATCAAACACACTACCTACCCCTAGTTTCCAGCCGGCCAGTGGAATGACCCCAATGACACAAACAGTGGTACAACAGATGGAGAAAGTGGCAAGGAAACCGATAATGACGTTCATGGTGGACAGAGTCAAAATGGGGAAGGCGAGACATACACCGATCAGGATTCCAAGTAAGGCATTCTCTGCAAGAGTCTGCATGTACAAATAGAATTATTACACGTCGTTAAAATTTAGAAATGAATGGGTTGTTGTCGCTTTATTCATCTGATAGGGATGATAACAACTAATCAGGAAAAATAACAACTAATTTGGAAGATAACATTTGATAAGGAAAATTTTAAAACGAAGCAGAGAAAATAATTTCTATCCAACAAATACATAATGGATATCTGACCTCGACGACGTAAAACAGATGCCAGGTTCCCCTGGTTTGCTGGAAACCATTGTTGACGCCAGCAGGCATGGCACTCATCTGAAAGGAAAGTAGCCTTTTATACAAAATGAAATCAGCCAAGTCTCTTTGATGAATTGTTATAATAAGCCGAAACAATGTTGTGGAATATCTTATGTAATTTCTAAAACGTTCCCTTCATTGAAATACTGTAGATCACTTAATTTTCGCGACACCATATTTTTTCGAAATAGTCATTGACTCTTTATTAGCGAAACAAAATTTTCAGGAATTGTGCTCATTGCTTTATATAATCTTAAGGAATTCTATTATACGCGAGAAAAAATTTTCGCTAGCATACCGTGTCGCGTAATTACGCGAAAATAAAGTTTTCGCGAATAAAAAGTGATATACAGTACTTTAATTTAGATCTATCTGATTAAAAAACTCAAAAAAAAGTCTTACAGGGACTTGTTTTCACAGCAAATAAACAACCAAAAACAAAAAACAAACAAAAAATAACAAAAAAAAAGCAACCGAAAAAAAAAACCAAACACTTTGCAGCAAAACTTATTTCTTTAATAAAGAAACTACACCCAATATTCATGTTGATACACAGACAACTTCGCCTCATGTATGTCTATCATATTGGTTTCTTAGAGAATCATAAAAAGGGACATCGTGTGTAAATCATATGAAACAAATCAAATGATTCACAAATGATTCTCATATGATCCACATATATGATCCTCATGTGAAAGGCAATGCGTACTAGTATGTGGATCTCTGACATATATGTCAAAATTGCCTATGTAGCATGAGTGAACCACATTGGCACTAAATAAAAGTCTCTCCAAATTGCGCAGCAGATTATTAAAAAGCGGAAACTGTCCCAAGTTACCGAGTATGTCATACCGTATAACATATTTTAAGTTAAAATAAGCTTCACTTCTCATAATATAATTTTAGTGTAGATAATAATACAATTTTTCCTCCAAAATTAATTCAATTTTAGTTGTAACACGTCCTTTGCTTGGATAAAAGTCTAAGTTTATATATCATATAACATAAGTTAATGACCACGTCACATTTAATTAAGTCAAAAACGTATTACTCCGCTTGGCGTTACTCTTAAAATATGCTCAATTTGAAGCCTTTTTTGGAGGGAAAAATGTCATGGTCTACACTGAAATTAAATAACAAGGAATGAACCTTACTTTAACCTAGGTTATA